GCCACAACTATAGGACTTTTGGAGAGGACTAAGGACCATTAAAATTGAATGTGTATTTTATATTTTTGCCTGAGGACATCATGATGCATATTAACAACCATATGTAGGAGTCGTCCCTCCCTAAAATAATTATATTCTTTAGGTGTAAATACAGCCAAGAACACATGTAGCTGATAAAACAGTTCTCCATTTGACAGCCAAAACTTACAGGAATATGAATAAATACTATTTTCATTTACTTAGAATGAGAAAATCTTAAAAAAAGTACAGCATCTTTTAAAAGCAGAACTGTGAGTACAATACAAAAACTGCTAGATTACATGGAGAATCTGGTGTAAAATCAGGTGCAAACACTCTACATTGCTGGCCAGCTCTCTTCTCAGGGATTAAAAAAAAAAACAACAACACATAAAAACACATAAAAGCATCTGGATTTTGACAAGCAAGTGCCTAGAGGGAAGTTATACAGCTCTGCATATATATACTTACTGTGTACATGTCTGTGTGCATACACACAACAATAGAGTGCACTGCCAAAACTGCCTAAGGAATACACTCCATACCTGTAACACACACACAGGCACAGATAGAAACGTACTGGAACACAAAACTGCCTGTGCACAGACAGAGGATTGCACAGAAAATGCAAATATAGAAAACAAACCCACACACAGACGTGCTGCTACAGATCTGACTGTGCATGTGTGTAAAAGAGATAAAAACTGAACAAACTGGCCGGGCATAACCACAGATCTCCTCTAGAGAGCTCAGCAGTGTGAGGCTCATATGCACTTAGAACAGATCAACATTGTATTGTTTCTTCCCTCCAGGAATTTCCTGTGAAAAAGAATTCATAGCAAAGCTTATCTTATAGACAGAGGCTACTCTGGGCTTCAATAGGAGCAAGAATTCCTTCCATATTGTTTTTCCTACTTATCCTATGCTTTTCACTGATTCTAAGCAAAAAAATAATTATTTGATTTACTTCCTTGAAAGGTTCAAACAAGCATTTTTTTCATTCCTACTTTCATAGAGATGCAAGCAACCTCCCAGTAGGTCAAGGGTCAGTCCTTTAAAAACTGTTCTGTAAAATGAATAATCACGTCACTTATTCATGAATAATTTATATTTTTATACCACAATTTTTCTATCCTAACTTTGCTCTGTAACATACAGAAATAGCAGCATAACATTTGGACTGACATATCTGTGAGAACAGACATCTACTTTTTAGCTACTCTAAGCAAAGTAGGCTTCAAGTATTGATAAATATGATCATAGACAAGTTACCTTCTCTATTTGATTAATAGCACCATGGATTTGAAACTAATTGCAAAAGTAGGGTTGGCTAATGAGGTGGCCCTTCTCTTTTCTCAGCAGTGCAAGCACAAGTATTTTTCTGCTGGCTCAATAGTTTTAAATGCCCAAAGTGCTATTAACTAAATTGGAATCTGATTAAATAGGAACTTCAAAATATTCACAACAGCTAATGCAGCTACACACAGACACACACACAAAAAAAAATTCTTATCTCTTTTCTTATCATGAAGCATGTGCTTGAAAAAATAATAATTAAATAAATTGTTCCCTACAGATTCTGCCAGTTGTTTTGCTTCCCATCAGCATCTTTGAAAACAGTTTGTTAAGACAATAGTTATTCTTTATTATGGAACTATGGGGATGATGCCCTTCTACCTGCCTCAGTCTGTCGTGACGGAAAGCTCTGGACACTTAATGTAAGGATCCAAAAACTCCGTTTATTGAAGATTGAAAGCAACTTAATATACACTGTATAATAGGCTCATACATATTGCAGGGATCAAGCTCCTAATTGGTGCTAAGTCAAGTGGTGATATCATCTCAACTCTCTTGCCTTGTTTACACAGGTGGCTAATCAGTTGCCTTTGTTTTGGTAATGCCAACCTCTTGTTTATCACCCAGCTTTAGCACATCAAAGACACTGTTGCTTTCTCATGGCCCTGTGTCTGAGGTTCACACCAGCTAAGGCAAGAGGTTCACACGAGCTAATTCCCTACATCAGTCCAAAAAGAAATTTGTGGGAAATGTTAAAGCTTAAGGACTATTAGAAAAGGACAGCGTGCCTTAGGAAAAAACAGGGGGAAAAAGTATGGAAAAAGCGATCAGCCATTCCAGAGAATTCACAGATATCCACAAGGGCTTTGCTAATAACACGGGTTAATTACTGCTGAAACGCACCAGGCTCGGTCAATAAAGGAGCACAACCATAAACACATTAAAATGAGCACCCAGCACTAAAAGAGGGCCAAGCCCCAGCAAAGGAAGAGCTGCCAGAGGGGCATTTCAGCACAAACCCTTTATACTTTCTGCAGGATTTACAAACTTGCCAGCAGTCTGTCAGAACTAAAAGAGTAAAGCCCTACGAGCGGACACAGGGAAGGAAGAAGGGATCAGGGCCTGCCTGTGCCCAAGGGGAGAGCCCTGGGAGAGCCCAGGCAGGGTCTGGGTGCTCACCCACCCTTGGGGGCTGCTGCACCACCCAGAGCCGTGTGCCACCGTACACACCGGCTACACGGACAGAGCCCAGAGCTTGTGACTGGAATATCAACTTGGGCTTTATTTCTTAGGAACAACTGCAAACAGCTGTCTAATAAGACAAATGCATGAGGTTAAAGACCTTCAAAGCTCGGAGAAACCGTGGAGCGAAATTGCGTCTGCTTCCCACTCCACAAAGAGAAGCTCCTTCAGTCCACCCCTTTCCTCCCTTTACAAATGAAAGACACTTCTAAAAAACTCTTCAACAATTAGAAGCTGTGCCAAAATATTTTAAAGAGTGAAACTGACACAAACTCTTTTAAGTTTAGCACAGAATCCCCCTGCACACACACACACAGGCATGTGAATCTACACACACACTTCTGTTCATCCCTGCACAGACATAACCCAGACAGACTCGCAGGGTAACTCCACACACCATTCCCACATCACAACATGAGAACGGTTAGAAAAACATCAAATATGTACACCAACCACCACTGCACTGAAGCATTCACAGGATGTGACACCTGTGTCCATGTTTAAATGTTACAGCCATTCTACACAACATTTATTTCCTGTCAGCTGAGTATTCTATCAGCTGGATTCTAAGACGAAACTCTATGCACATAAACAGCTGAATTTGCTCCACATTTAAACGCTGCTGCACATTTTTAAATGGAGAAAGTAGGGGAACTGCTAAGTGTCCAAATGAATTAAACACAGTGAGCCACAAAAGGCAAAAGTACATAGTGTACAGCAGCTTCCTGGAGTTACAGATCTGCTCAATTTTTTATGTTTGGCATTCAGAGACCATGTTTAAATTTATTAAACTACTCCCATTCTGATCCCCCCACCCCCTTTTTGGAGTGCTTCAATTGCCTTTCCTTCCTCCAACAGCTGTGACAACTGTTAAAATAGTCAGTAAAATTAAGTCCGATCTATAATCTTTTAGTCAATGTTACATTTTAATCAGAGGTTGAGGGAGATTTCTTGTTATGAACACACTGATTCATTTAAAACTATTAAACTGACACACATGTCAAAATGAGCAGATACAGTTATTGCATGTTAGCTCATTAACTATTAGTAATTATTAGTGCTATTGTTATTGCTGAAAGAGCAAAAATTCAAGACTGCATCTGGCTTTAAGTTATTGCATTCTTTAACATGCTCTGCCTTAAAATCAAAGCACACCTAGTGATGGTCAGACAGATGTCTGCACTCTCAAAATGTTCAGAAAATTTTTAGCTCGAATTGTCTCTACCCTCACCCATAACACAAGAACTGCAGAAACTACAATACCTATTTTGTATGTCCTTGTGCTCATATGTGCATATGCAGGTCACAATATAGAGTCAAATCTCAATTATTATGGATATTGTTAATGTATCAACCTCTAGGGTTTATTAATTGAGACAGAGAAGCAGATATGTTTCTGAATGTTAGTTCTTTCTCTGTGTCCATTCAATCCCACACGTCTCAAGCCCTGCACTCACACAATATATTGGGAGCGTTTTAAGATGGCTTTTAATTGAGCCAAAGAGGAAGAAAAAAATTAGTTTGAATCTTGCACCAGAGCCAAAAAGACATGTGCCCCGATTTCATTGAAATGCATCTACTCTAAGAGGCTTATCTAAACTAATCATTCAGATTAGCTGGAAGAAGGTACATTCAAGAAAGCTCCTTTGGGGAGGTTGGGGGGGGACAAAGCATCCACAAAAAAAAAAAAAATCACCAAAAAAAGCCCAACCTAACAACCAACTTATCATCTCTATATATTTTATAAAAAAGTGTCACTGTATTAAAAGCTGTAGAAACTGCATTCTTGCATTTATGAAGCTATCTTACACTATACACAGTGCACTGATCTATAAACCATATCTGAAAGGGGACCCTCCTCTGTTTATTTTCTGTTATTTAACCCGGAACATTCCAGTGGGTTTTCCCTGCGCCCCCTTCCCAAACTGTGCTACCACCAGCCAGGCTGTTTGCTACTTCCCGTATCATTTCACCAACGTGCGATTGCCGCCATTCACTTTTCCTGCCTGGTTCAATTCCCCCCAGCCCTGCGCTGTGCAGGCAGCAAGGACAGCGAGTGGGCATCTCCCTCTAGCACACTGTCACCTCCCGAGCAGCCTCTGTGTCACTGCGGCTGGGGCAATGCGGTACCTGCTCTTCCTTGTGGTGCAGGGAGAGCGACTCCGGCAGGCAAAGTTCTCCCGAGTCCATGTGCGCCCGGCGACAAATCCTCCATGTGCCCCGCAGGGAAAAGCAAAGTCTCTGTGGCCGACCCTGCGCACTTGGCATGGGTGCGCTCCGGGCGCGGTGGCAGCGGGCGGGGACCAAAAGCTCGCCCGCATCTGATCAAGGGCTCAAAGCCCCACCCACAGCTCATGAATATGCAGCAGGGCGGGACATTTGCATCCCCCAGGACAGCCCATTGGTGGGGCGGTAGCCAATCAGGTGCCAGGGGTGCGGGGGCGGCAGGCAGAGGGTGGGGGTGGGGCAGCGGCCTTGGAACAAAGCCTTGGAAATCTTTTATCCATACACGGGATGACTGGAACCATCACTTACATCAGGGTTATCTCTACATGCTGCCTTTATGTCGTCTGACATCTAATGCATGGTTTTTAAAACAGTAGATGAAAGGAGTTGCACTTTTTAAAGGTGCAAGGAACACTAAATTCAACCCTCACAGTTGAATCAATAACACTATAATAAATACCAACATCAGAAAAGCATCTCTTTTAAGTCCTGAAAACCAGAAAAGGGACTTTCCACATGGGTGTCCTGTCATCCATAACTATAAGGGAAGAATTCAATAGAATAAAGAAGTATATAAGTGTTCTCTCCAAGATCCAGGTGAGATTCTCTCTCTTCTAACATTTTACTGACCTAGGAAGCAAGAATTTGCCACAGAATTAATACCGGAGAAAAATGAGACCAGTGAAACATCCTGAGCTCAGGAGAACCTGACTGTGCTGGGGAATCAGAGCTTTCACCATGGGAAATGAACTGCTCTGAAACAGTGGGAAGAAACCAGGAACAAAGGCTGAGTTCAAATGCTCAAGACTAAACAACTCCTTCCTCACCAAAAGGTCTGAGCTACCCTTAACTCATCTCTAGACATCCATGGAAATAAAACAGTCTGACCTTGAACCCAAGGGAAACAAAGACAAATTCCAGGGCTTTAGCTGGAGCAAGGTTGGGGGGGAAGTGTCACTCCTCTATGACATCACATGCTCCCCATGACATCACATCCTTTCCTGTGATATCACAGCTCCCCTATGACATCACATCTCCCTTATGACGTCTCATACATCATATGACATCACATCTCTCCTGATACCATATCATCCCTGTGATGTCATGCCCTCCCCTGCGACAACACAGCTCTCCTGTGACAACACAGCTTTCCTGTAACATCACATCCTTCCTGTGCCATCACATCTCCCCTGTGACATCACATCGCTCCTATGATGTCACATCCATCATATGACAACACATATCTCCTGTGATATATCATCCCCGTGACATCACATCCTCCCCGTGACATAACAGCTGATGTCACACCCATCATATGACATCACATCTCTCCTGTGATATCATATCATCCCCGTGACATCACAGCTCCCCTTGTGACATCACATGCTCCCAGTGACATCACAGCTCCCTTATGACATCACATCCTTCCCATGACATCACATCTCCCCTATGCTGTCACATCCATGATATGACAACACATCCTTTCTGTGGCATCACATCTCTCCCGTGACATCACTGCTCCTCTGTGACATCACATCCTCCCTGTGACATCACAGCTCCCCAATGACATCACATCCTCCCTGTAACATCACATCTCCCCTGTGACATCACATCCTTCCTGTGACATCACATCTCCGCTATGATGTCACAACCTTCCTGTGACATCACATCTCCCCTATGATGTCACATCCATCATATGATATCACATTTGCCCTGTGACATCACACCTCCCCTTAACATCCCAGCTCCCCTGTGACATCACAGCTAACAACACATTCATCATATGACATCACATCCTTCCTCTGATATCACATCGCCCCTATGACATCACACCTCTCCTGACATATCATATAACCTCTGCGACATCACATCCTGCCCTGTGACATCACATCGTCCCTGTGACATGACATCTTCCCTATAACATCACACTTCCGAATGACATCCTTGTTGAGACATCCCATCGCCCCTGTGACATTATATGCCCTCTATGACATCACATCCATCATATGACATCACAGTTCTCCTGCGATATCATATAATTCCTGTGATGTCACATCCTCTCCTATGACATCACAGTTCCCCTATGACATCACAGTTCCCCTATGGCATCACATCCATCATATGACATCACTTTCCTCTGAGACATCACACCCTTCCTGTGACATCACATCTCCCTTATGACGTCACATCCATCATATGACGTCACATATATCATATGACATCACACCTCTCCTGTGATATCACAAAATCCCTGTGATGTCATGTCCTCCCCTGTGACATCAGAGCTCCCCTGTAACATCAGATTGTTCCCGTGACATCACATCCTCCCCTGTGACATCACATCCTCCTCATGACATCACATCATCCCTGTGACATGAGATTCTCCTCTCTGACATCACGTCCTCCCCTGTGAAAACACATCCTCCCCATGACATCACAGTTCCCCTATGACATCACACCAGCCCTGTGACATCGCAGCTCTCCTATGACATCACATCTCCACTGTGACATCACATCCTTCCTGATGCATCACATCTGCCCTATGATGTCACATCCATCATATGACACCACATCTCCCTTGTGATATCAGATAATCCCTGTGATGTCACGTCCTCCCCTGTGATATCACATCCTCCCTATGACATCATTTCTCCCTGTGACATACCATCCTTGTTGTGACATCCCCATGTGACATCACACCTCCCCATGACATCACAGTTCCCCTGTGACATCACAGCTGACGTCACATCCATCATATAACATCACATCCTTCCTGTGACATCACATATCCCCTATGACATCACATCCATCATGTGACATCACATCTCTCCTGTGATATCATATAATCCCTCTGACATTACACCTGCCCCGTGACATCACATCCTTCCTGTGACATCATGACCTCCCCTGTGACATCACACTTCCCTGTGACATCACCCTCTTCCTGTGACATCACCTCTCCCCTATGACATCACATCCATCATATGACATCACACCTCTCCTGTGATATCATCCCTCTGACATCACACCTGCCATGTGATATCACATCCTTCCTGTGATATTATATAATCCCTGTGATATTACGTCCTCCCCTCTGACATCACATTGTCCCTGTGACATCACATCTCTCCTATTACATCACACCTCTCCATAATATCACAGCTCCCCTGTGACATCACATCCTTCCTGTGACATCACATCTCTCCTGTGACATCACATCTCTCCTATTACATTACACCTCTCCATAATATCACAGCTTCCCTGTGACATCACATCCTTCCTGTGACATCACATCTCTCCTGTGATATCATATCATCCCAGTGACATCACGTGCTCACCTGTGACATCACATCCTCTCTGTGACATCACACCTCCCCTGTGACAACACATCCTTGTTGTGACATCATATCTCCCTTGTGATATCACATCCTTGTTGTGACATCAAGGCTCCTCTATGATGTCACATCCATCATATGACATCACATCTCCCCTGGGACATCACATCCAGTGACATCCAGATCCATCCCAAGGTTGGGGGTGTGTGTGAGACAGGCAGAACCACAAATGCCTGCACAGCCCAGAGCAGTCAGTGTGGTGCTGGGCTTGCTGCTGCAGAGACCCCCAGGGAACAAACCCAGGGAGGAGTTTGGGGGGGTGGGTGTGTCCCTAAGGAGGACATTTGCCTTATTATTGCTTATTATTTGTAATATCTTATAGATCTATCATACAACACCTAAGGATGGATTCTACAGAATATGTGCCATATATATTCGTGTTGGGTCTGGCTGAGCTGCAGTTCAGTTCCCCACAGCAGCCCTCCCAGGGCTGGGCTTTGCATTGGCAGCTGGAAGGGTGTTGAGAACACACCAGTGTTTTGGCCACTGCTGAGCACAGCACCAACACTGGGACATTCCTTCCTTAGCTGAGGGCAAGACCCTGGGAGGGGACCCAAGTAGGTCAGCTGAGCCCAACTGACCCAAGGGACATTGCAGACAATGGGAGATCAGCTCAGCTCTAAAAGCTGAGGCACAGAGCAGGAGGGGGGCATTCATTGTCTAATGGCTGCCTGCTGAGGAACCGTCCCGCACACCCAAGCCCTGCTCCTCAGGAGTGGCCAACCATGGCTGCTCATGGGAAGTAGAGAACAAACCCTGCTACCTCTTGCTTCTGTGTGCACAAGCTTCACTTTGCTTTTTGCTTTAAAAAAAACTGCCTTATCTCAACCCACCAGTCATTTTTTTTTCCCACCTTACTCTCTCCCCTGTCCCGCTGGGAAGGGGAGTGATAGAGTGGCTGGGAGGGTACCTGGTGTCCAGCCAAGGTCAACCCACGACACACCTGAACACTTCCAGAGACTCCACCACCTCCCTGGGCTACTTGTTCCAATGCCTCAACACTCTCTCAGTGGAAAAAGGGTTCTTTCATATCTAATATGAACCTTGCCCAATGCAATTTAAGGCCATTCCCTCACAACCTTTCACTATAGCCTTGGCAGAAGAGACCAACCCCCATCCCACTAAAACCTCCTTTCAGGTCACTGGAGAGAGCAATGAGGTCCCCCCTGAGCCTCCCCTTCTCCAGACTCAACAAGCCCAGTTCCCTCAGCCGTTCCTCAGCAGACATGTTTTCCAGAGCCTTCCCCAGCTCCATTCCCTTCTCTGGACACGCTCCAGCCCCTCAAGGGCCTTTCTGCCCTGAGGGGCCAGAACTGGACACAGCACTCGAGGTGGGGCCTCCCCAGTGCCCAGCACAGAGGGGCAATCAGTTCTCTGCTCCTGCTGGCCACACTCTTCTCCACAAAGGCCAGGATGCCCTTGGCCTTCTTGCCCCCCTGGGCACACTCTGGCTCATATCCAAGCACTGTCAAGCAGCACCCCCAAGTCCCTTCCTGCTGAGCAGCTCTCCAGCCCCTCTGCCCCCAGCCTGGAGCGTTCCAGGGGGTTGTTGGGAGCCAAGTGCAGGCCCTGACACTTGGCCTTATTGATCCAGCCTGTCCAGATCCCTCTGCAGAGCCTTCCTGCCCTCCAGCACATCCACACTCACACCCAACGTGGTGTTGTCCACGACTTTCCTGAGGGGGCACTCGATCCCCTGGCCCAGATCATCAACAACGATGTTAAACAGGAGCAGCCCCAACCCTGAGCCCTTGGGAACCCCACTAGTGACCGGCCCCAGCTGGATTTCCTTCCATTCCCCACCACTCCCTGGGCCATCAGCCACTTTGTCACCCAGCAAACAGTTCCCTCGTGCAAGCCATGAGCAGCCAGTTTGTGCAGGAGATGCTGGGGGAGATGGTGCCAAAGGCTTTCCGGAATTCCAGAGAGACACATCCCCAGCCTTTCCTTGAGCTGCTGAGCGGGTCCTTTGTCAGAGAAGGAGATGAGGTTGGTCAGGCAGGACCTGCCTTTCCCAACCCCACACTGGCTGGGCCTGATCCCCTGGTTGTCCTGCCCGTGCCATGGGATGGCACTGAGGAGGATCTGCTGCATGGACTTCCCCTGTCCTGAGGTCAATGGGACAGGCCAGGAGTTGCCCCAGATCCTCCTTTTGGCCCTTCCTGGGGATGGGCATCCCATTTGCTTGTTGCCAGTCAGCTGGGACTTGTGCAGTTCTGCAGCACTGCTGGGGAAGGAGTGAGAGTGGCTTGGTCAGCTCTTTCTCCAGCTCCCTCATGACTCTTGGCTGCATCCCATGTGGGCCCAGGCACTTGTGGGGGTCTCACTGGCAGAGCAGGTCACTGACCATTTCCTCCTGCATTGTGGGGGCTTCACTCAGCTCCCCATCACCAGCTTCAGGCCAAAGCCTGCCTGCCAGGTGTCCAAGGGGTCAGTTCTGCTGCCCCCTCCTTCCTTACCCCACAATGGAAAACTCCCTCATTTTGGGTCCCTGTGCC